AAATAAAAAAAAAAAAAAAAAAAAAAAACAAGAAAATCTAGAGACCCCAGATATCTCGTGATTCTTGACTAGAGCCTCCTGAAACATCAGAACCCCTCCACCCGCATCCAACCTCATTGTTGGGTGTATCCCGTGTATCCCTGTTGGCCCCTGTTTACTGCTTTCAATTCTGTTCCTCGGGATGTTCAGGCCTCTGAAAAAACATTTTAAGGGGGGCTTTAAGTCAAGAAGGAACATAATACAAGGGGTATAGATATATATATATATACATGTATGTGTATATGGATATCTACGGACACGTACGGATATGCCAGGATATGTAGGGATGTACTGGCATTCAAAGGGATTTCTGCGGGACTGGAAAAGACGATGGAAGCTACTGCGTTCTTTCCTGCTCAGGGCTCTATAGTTTGCGGGGGGCCCGATACCCCTTAACTAGGGAATAGATTAGAATCATGCGGGGGAACCTGGTGCAATTTCAGGCACATTCCTTCATTAGGTGTGCATTGGGCTCCCTGGGCTGCCGTCCCCCAGCTAATAGTGGTATACTCAGACAATGTGGGGGCCCTCATAGGGATAGCCTTGTGCGTAGTGGCCACCAGTAGCATGGAACCGCATCAAGGCCACTGTCTAGAGGACAGCGACAGGACGCCTTTTGCAGGTCCCATGTTAGTTTGACGGAGGGTAGGCTTTAGAATGTAAGATTCCATAGTCTAGGGCTTGTAGTATTGTGCTGGCATGTACTTCTGTAGTTGGTGGTTGGTCGTCTCAGCCCTAGCAAGCATTCAAAATCACAGGGAAGGCCAAATTACTGTGCAGACATCACCCCAAATCAGGACCATCTCTGATGCTAAGAAGGGAAACTCCAGTCTAGGAAAGAACTCACTTGGTGACAAAAACGTAGTTCCTTGGCGGACCAGAACACCGCTCAAGCGGGAAGCTTTCGATAATTTAGCTATATCGTCCTGCACCGTAAACTAGGTACACGGGAAGCCCCGTGGGCCCTAAGGATATACTATATGCCAGCACTGAACCTTAAACCCTAAACCCGAAACTTTATCTACCTACATGGGCGCATTGGGAAGGAGTATGTCGGCTTCTCCAACACAGTTGACTGGATCTCCTTGATCGTGGCTACTGTTGGGGGCCAAGGAAGAGTTTAGGCTTTAGGGCCAAGGAAAGTGCAGCGGCTGCGTTGAAGGGCCGCGCGGGGATTCTACCGAACACGCGGTAGTTTTAACTGTAGGTGAGCCACGTGGTTTTCACATAGACTTTTTTTCTGCATGTAGTGGTCCTTGTCAGCGGGCGCTTCTACTGTCGATGGAGGTGGTTAACTTGCAGCCTAGGATTCCAGCTGCTGGAGGACCGGGGTAACTGGTGCAGAGTTTCTTCCGTAAACAGTTGCAAGTCAGGTAGATATCCCTAGAGCTTCATATTAAAGGCGAAGAAGGTCTAGGAGCATGTCGGCTTCCTTTGCAATCCAGTATACAGGAGTCCTCCTTAGGGGATCTGTCCTACTGGGGGACGAAAGGAAGCAGTCATGACGGGTTTAGGGTTTTAGCGTTTTAGGGTCTTAGGGTTCTGGGCTTTAGAGTTTTAGGTTTGAGGGTTTAGGGTTTTAGGGTTTTAGGATTTAGGGTTTTAGGGTTTGAGGGTTTAGGGTTTGAGGGTTTAGGGTTTTAGGGTGTAGGGTTTAGATGCATCCTGTGGAGGGGTCCTCAGAGTGGGATGTCAGGGTCCTAGTGCATTTGGGGACCCTCGCCCCAAGCACAGTGATAATATTTCCGGATTGATGGCTTCCATGTAGGAGTCATATAGATACATAGATAGATGGATAGAGAGAAAGATATGTATATCTCTATGTATGAACACCCATTAAACGTTTTCCAGGATTACGAGTTCTTCATTTGGATTCCCAGCTGGAGTCCACAAGGACGTGGGTTGGCAGATTCTTGCAAGATGGCAGCGGACTAACAAAAGCTGCAGAAGAAGCGTTGACCCCTAAGCCCTACACCCCATTACCCTATATACCCCTTTAATCACCTAAATCCTGAACCGATAATCTACTCTTTTCGGTTTTAACCTATCCGATGCTCAGCTGTGATTCGGGTAGCATCGCTTGCTGTGATGCTTCCCCATCGGCGAAGGTAAATTCCACATAAGGAACCCCGAGACTTAAACCCTAAACCCTGAAAGAAAGCCTTGTGCAGGTTCCCCACAATGGTTGTACAGAGGAAGGCAGGGTGCCAGGAACATTCTATACTGACTGGTTCTTACTAGGGAATAACGCAAGATAGTCCCTGCATGATATATGCCCCTGGTATCTAAAACAAAAGAAGGGCTCCTCATTACTGACAGGGGTTTGGAGGTCTACTGCAAATCCTACTGTTAAGTCAGAGGATGTATCTACCACATGTTTGAACCGTCCCCAAAAGTTAGGATGGTAGGAACGAGCTCACTGGTCAAGGTCGTTGCGGTGTTCTTCATGCTGCTGTCCTTTCAGTCCACAGATTTGCAGGCAAGTTTCCACAACTTCAGCACAAATTGCATAGTGATGCTTTGGTTGTATTCAAAGGGTCCATGTAGGTTTATAGTATTTGCGTCGGGATCAACGTTTTTTCTTCACCCATTTACTTTTTGGCTGAGTAGATACTACGTAGCTTTGCGCAGCCTTCGTGTAAGATTCCATCACACACCAAACACTGCAACGGAGATGAAGGATTCATTAATGGTGACAAGTCACTTTGAGCAGCTACCGTGAATACTGACAATCCTGCATGAGCTTAGTGCACTAGAATACCATAGAATACCGATGTTTTTTCTTCGAGAGTTCGGGTAATTACTCAAGGCCATGCAGATTCTTGGTTTCCACCATATGGGGATTTCCCAGAATTAGGCGTACCTTTTTTGGGGTCCCCATAACAAGGGTCATAGTATATTGGGGTCTATATTGGGGTCCCCCTCTGTAGGGAAACTACCATATGACTGTGTTTTGCCTTCGGTCTTGCAGCCCAATGCAAAAGTGTCAAGGCGCCGCCGCTGATGTAGGGGCCAAAGGAATATTTCATTCCCACTATTCTGCTCCCCCCTCCTGATGACGGATACTCCTCCCAGAGAACCCCCAGTTCCAGAAATGCCCTAAATACTGGCCTTTAAAAGGGCCAAGACTACTTTAAAACACATCCATGTAATGATGAATTGCAGGGGTGTTGGGAGTGGGGGTTCAGAGGTCATCAAGGCGGTTATAATACGGAATTAAGAATTCCCTTGAATTTGTTTATGCTTTGTCTTACATAGTGTTTATAAAGGGTCATGCTTTGTCTTCCATAGTGTTTATAAACGAGTGTATATATAAAATCCGAATACGAGTTGGATTCATGTTTTTAAGAATCTAAATATTGTTGCGTTTTGGTTAGAGCTGAGTTAGATTTAAGTTGGTTAGATTTGAGATAGGTTTGAATTGCTTTCAGTACCGATCTGGAGTCGGTCTCATTCATACGTTCATGAGAGTTCATTCAGATCCCCTGTAACGCTTTGCAATTTCTCCCCCCTCCCCGCTAATGTGAATATTCCAGGTAGCTTCCGGGTGGGGTCTAAACTCCTAGTATCCCCGTAATATCCCCTTTAGTAGTCCCCAACTGATTCCCCTATATAACCCCCTTGAAGGAGTTTAGACTACAGCTCATTCGGAGAAGACTCCTTAAAGGGGGGTTATCTAGGGGATTATGTAGGGGACTAACTATAAGGGGTATGCTAGGAGTCTAGACACCAGCTATTTTGGAGAAGATTCTGCAATGTGTTTTGAAGGTGGCCATGAACGCGATCATGCAGTCTGTCAGCACTGGAGACCGCGAGGTGCCATAGTTTAGGGTTTAGGGTTTAGGGCATTGGGATTGGATTTTTCTTGTTTGGAAGCTTCTTATTGGCTGTTTTTAAAATGTGGTGTCTCAAGCTGACAAAGATCCATCTGAAGCTAAGTAGCGTTGGAAAGACTAATGCCGGGCTCTGCTCTAACGATTTGGATCGTGAAATTTGTCTACAGCACAGGCCAGTTTGGGGAACAAGGCTTTTGATCTTCTGCCAGGTGGTGTCTCAAGGGTGCTGAACGATTTGCATGTAGCCCTAAACCCTAAACTGCACCCTAAACTTTTTCTTTGGTTAGCTAGGACCTAGGAATGAAGGAATGGATCCTTATAGTCGTCCCTGTAAAACCCATTATAATAGTTTCCATGTTATTTTCCATTCCTTCATTCCCAGCTAACTAGCTAACTAAAGGTAAGTAGCATGTTCCTTAAAAAAGAAGGCTCCAGGTTGTAATAAGAATAATAGTAATACCAGTAATAATAGTATAAGAGTAATTATAATTACCTCCGAAGAAGCAAAAGGCACTTCAGCAGGAAAGCCCTGGAGTTTTTGGGCACCTCGGCAGGACATTTCGCCATTGGCTTCACTTTATACATTGGTTGAAAAGGGTTTGGGGTTTAGGGTGGTTGAACTTCTAGATGGCAGCACAGGTTCTCACAATTATTTGGCAGTTCATAGTGCGCAGAAGAAATCTGCCATTAGGAAGCAAAACATGCCCGTCGCCATATGCTCACGGGAGCCCTGAGGTAATGTGAAAGTTCTGATCTTGAGTTGGTGTGATCAGTTGCTGGAGTTGATGCAGGTATCCCTTCAATAATGCCGTACCTTCACACAGAGCCCAGTACAGCTGATATGACATAGAGAAACCCTACATTATACGATGACGGGGTATTGGGCTCTATGGGTACACTTCGTGCCTTGGATTCCAAATCTACTGTGATGGCCTGGATGATATGTACATATATATATATATAATATTACGCATCAAAGCTATACAGTACTACTCCGGAACCCCTATCACACTTTAATAGGCCCCTACTCTACGATCCCTATAAAGCATTGTACCAACCCAGTTTTCGCTTATTTCTTGCAATTATTTTCCCTGTGAGTTTCTGCCCTATACTGTATACTCATATACATATCCCCGAGAATCCATCTGCATATATATATCTATGTATATATATATGTGTATATATATGTGTATATATATACACATTTTCCTAAACCCTAAGCCCCATATCCCTGTATGATCACACTTCAACCCTATCCTGGAAGCAAGACCTTGACTTCCGCAAGCAGGCATACCAAGATCTGGTGCTGGCCTTACCAGTGATATCTTGCAGGGTTCTACGGTTTAGGGTTTAGGGTTTAGGGTTAACCCCACACCCGCAACTCAAAGCCCATAGCGCTAAGCTCTAAGCCCCAAAGCATAACTGCTGAGCCCTAAGCTCTAAGCCCTACCTCCCAGACTGGGGTCAGGTGTCTGCAGTCCTTAAGGGATTGCAAGCAGCAGTAGGTTGAGGGTCCTAAGAAATTATCCATGGCTTTATTCCATCATTCAGTGCTTACAACAGATGCGCGGAGAATGAAGGCAGCAGGTCTTCTGTTGAAGTGTACAGCAACGAATCGTTTTACCAAAGGTTTACAGTTCATGGCTATGGCTAGTGCACCCGGATGGATTTTAAAGCAGTACCAGAGACGCTACATGGAGCCCTGTAACATGACCACAGGATATGCAAAGGATGAGGTCCATCTCCAAATTGCAGGCAGAAAACAAGGTTTTATGGGTACTTTGATTGCTCTAGGTACTGTTGATGAAATCAAAAGCCCATCGCCTTCTTACCAAGTGAGTACCTCAAGGTCTGGGAATTGCAGTGCCACGTGGCTGATAGGGTTATATAGGGATTCTATAGGGCTATGGGGGTTACACTGCGCTGTATAGGGGTGTGTGGGGATTGGGTTTCAAGGGTTGTTTAGCGGTCCAAGGACACAAATAATGGGGTTTGAGGGCTCCAATCATGCTGTAATCTGAATGGCTTCTGGGTCCTTAAGCCCCATTACTTAGATACCTGGTGCCTTACGGTGACACAGCAGCCTCTCTAGCCAGAGTTCTGTTAAGCATCTTGTACCTGATGAGGTCAGTCGATTCTTTGTGCAGTGTGAAGCAGCCCTGGAGCAGGAGTGGATGCCTCAATACTGGGTTTAGGGTCAAGGGGTAGGCCCCTGGGATGTTTTATAAACAATAACGGCTTTAATACAGAGCCTTACAGAGCAATATACCGAACACTCGTCAAGTAGTTTTAGGGGCAAACACAGAATAGACCTAGGTGCTTTAACCCAAGAGTCACAGACCTCCTGGGGTGCGCTCGTAAACGGAAGCACGGTCAGGCTCCTGATGTGTATAAACTAATCCGAAAACTTGGCCCTGCACAGCTAAACTTACAGCGACATGAACGTCCCAAAATGGCCTTATTTCAGGACTAGTGGTTTAGGGTTTAGGGTTTAGGGTTCAGGATTTGTAGTTTAGGGTTTAGGGTTTAGGGTTTAGGGTCAGGATTAGGTTTTAAGATAGTTCCTCCAGCGTGTCGGGCAGGAGCGAAGCAATCGAACCATGATGAGCTTCTATCCCTTCATGCTGCCTGGCCTACACCCTAAACCCCAAACCCGCAGCAACCCTAAACCCCAAACCCGCAGCAACCCTAAAACCTAAACCTTAAACCCTAAACCCTGAAACCCTGAACCCTAAACTTTAAACACGAATCACTAAAGCTTAAACCTCAAACCCTGAACCTTAAACCTTAACCCCTAAACCCATGACCGTTAACCGTCTCAGAGTCCGGCTTGGTTTTAGACTATAGGCTCATATTGGGTTTTCAACAGTGTGATCTTTTTTGGGGGTGCACTAGATATTAGGGGCCAAATCATACTAGGGACCGCCAAAACCACCCGACGTTCTGATGACCTTGTAAAGATCAGGCATGGGGGATGTTGGAGTGAATGCGCGTGTTGCCTTTCATAGAACCCAGCATGGGAGCCAATGGGAGCGCAGAAACGCCGGGTGCTTGTGTACAATTTGCCAGAGGCTTTGTTCTTTATTTCAGGTTTGTCGTTTCTGCGATGTTTTGCACGGGGCTTGATACTGGTTGGAAGTTGTTGAAACAGGAAGGCTTTGTGATTGCAATGAGATCCTGCGGAATCATTACCCCTCGTTCGCCAAAAACAAACTTCAAGTCTGTTGCGTTGCTGGTCAGGGTCACCAGACCCCAGTGCAAGCCACATAGGTGCAGCACTGGCATCTGCCTGGCTGGTTATACGACTTCTTGTTCGATAGGACGGACCGACAAGGGGCAACCGTACCCTAACCCCTAAGGCCTAAACCTTCCAGATCTTTCACCTGCCTTGGTTCTTGGATGATATTGTGGATGGAGGAAGTTGTACCGCTCAGTATACACAAAGTACCCTGATTACCATCATTGCGGCACATAGGGTGGTGCAACATTTCCTCCATCCATAGTGGAGCATTCCTTGAGTAGAGTGTTTTGCCATTCCACAGGCTCATTATATGCTTCTCTGGCTTACTGGTGGTGAATACAAAGGAATGGAAGAATGATCCCTGCAGTAGTCCCTGTATTAGTGATCTAAGCGGATAGCCTGCGATCTTGCGCGGTATCCACACCCTGCCATGACAACTGAAACGCCAGGAAACTAAGCAGCTGGGATGATCCCCTGCACTTGTCACCTACTCATTCCTCATTCCCTACTAACCACCAACCTGGACTTTCCCAATGCCCACAACTAATAGCGTATGTGAGTACACATCATTTTGGGAGGTCCAAGTACATGCAAGGCTGATGCTGCGTTTGCTGAAGTCCTTCGATGCCCAGCCGAAGTTGGCAATCATCACAGAGACACTGCGGGAAGCCAGCCAGGCCCCGGATGTGTACTTCTGAGGGACCAAGTACCCAAAGATTGGGGCCTATATAGGGTTACGCAGGTATGCAGGGTTATGTAGGGCTATACAGGGATGTATAGGCTTGAAAGGTACAAGCAAACACTTGGGTTTTAGGTCCCAGTAACCTTTCCGATTATAGTACTTGAGCCCTAACAACCCATTATTTGTGTCCTTGGACCCTCAAACTCAATACATCTCCATATACATGTATACTAATATACCCATACATAAACCTATACAACCCTATATGACCCTGTACCACCTGGTATTTGGGGACTAGCATAGTGCGGTTATATGGATGCGTATGGAAATTTTCAGGAAACAGTTTCTTTAAGCGGGTATCGAGGGTTGCAAAGAGGGCTTTGCATGTTTCCATGCTCGTCTGTCAGAGTCCGCAGAATAAGCATGATAGTTATTTTCAGAGGTATATGAAGGGGACCTTGTTATTGGAAATGTTTCTAGCCTATGTAACCCGAAGAGGGGGTAGTCTTCCGTAGTGAGCTGAATTTGGGCACCATATTTGATGCTCAGCTTATCAGGGCTAATTGGAAGATGTCCTTCTCAAACCTGAGCATTTTCGGGAACTACTGTACTGCCCAGAGGGCCCACTACACCTTAATGGAGAAAGATGGCTTAATCGATACCATCCTTCCGAATATGACCCAGAATTCTATCTTCACTTGTTGGGAATCGGGCTCCCCAGCAATTAGTATGCATGCCCATGCGGCGCAGGATTTATGTACCGATATCAGGGCTTTTTCCATTTGGTGAGGGGGCGGGGGCCTGCTGGAGCAGCGACATGAGGGCCTAAATACTGTAAATGGCGTCTGGCACATTATACTTCAGCTTTACAATGATTATGAGGAGATGAAATTAGTGATTATGCCGGCTTCTACAGTAGCCATGAAACCCCCGAAGGTGCCACTCGTACAGGTTTGGAGAAGCAATTCCCTGACTTTCGTACAAGTAGGGTGCAAGTAGGGGCGTGGGTTCTTGCACGTGCTCACCCAGAGCTTTTTCAAACTCGATCCCACATCCTAAACGCCCCGCTCCTCATAGACCCCCTATGTACCTTCAATAAAGTGCGAGTGCCCACAAAGCAATTATGTCTACCATACTTCGGGGTACTTGGCGGGTTCCTGGCTTAGCACTCAAGCTTATAACGCATTATTATAGTAGTTTCCATTTTCTTTTCCATTATCCCAATATTACCGCTATATAACCCCCATATCCTTAGATCCCTATATTCCCCCAGTTTCCATTTTATTTTCCATGCTGTTTACCATTACCCCAATAGAATACAAGCTCCTAGTCGCATCCACAGGACATGCTTCATTTCAGCCTCGCCTTCCTGGGCGTTTGCGCCTGCCTCTGCCTGCAATCGGTCCTCATCTTTGGCCGAGACATAGAGGACGCTTTGGCGTTTTAAGAATTGGCTGCCTGGATAGATGTACTGTGCTGCTTTTTAAGGGACTGGAGTGGCTCAGTAGCCTTTTTGCGCGTTGTGGTTCGGGGGCGTGCTGAATATTACTTGTACGGACTACCCAGAAGTCACTGCGCTCAGGATACGAGTTACTCAGATCTCCCAGTAGTAATGGGATGTAACTGATATAGCCCCAAAATACGGGGCATAATGGTCATAATTTAGTATGTAGGTGCGTTTTGTTTTTGTTCGCTGTAGTTCTTGTATGGCACATGTTGAGCCACACCAGCAAGAAAACCCACTCAAAACGATGCCGCAGATTCTGTTCAGCTTTAGCCAAGCATGAATGCGGATTTGTTGGCTTCGGTCCTTTGAGCTGCAGATGCTGCATACGCACTTCGGCAAAACCAGCAACATTAGCACCAATTTTGATTTTCTTGCTTAAGTTATAGTCTCCCTTCAGTAGATAGAATATAGATAGAATATGGCTTTGGGTATGTTATAATAAGATCCCCATATACCCCGAATTCTATCTACTTAAGGGGGACTATAACCAAGCAGTTGCAGCAGTTGTAGTTAGGATGACCTTGGTTGGCTTGCGCGGTAATTGCCAGTTGGGCTTTATATAACCCAAGCCCTAAACCCTAAACAGTAGTTTCCATATTCTTTTCCATTATCCAAATACATACCCTATTACATAATAGTCTAATAGTAGTTGCCATTTTCTTTTTCATTATCCCATTATAACCCCTATATAGCCCCAATACTGTTGATACTAAAAATCCTGCATGACCTTAGTATACTATAGTACCATTATTCCCAAGGTCTAGGGCATTTAGGGTCATGCAGGATTTTTAGTATCCACCGTTTTACCAATAATATAAACCCCATAGTTATAGCCCCTACCCCTCCCCGCCTGCTTGTCATCGGGCATGTTGCAGCAGGACTTGGGCAACTTCGCTCGGGCACTTCACTTTGCCTTCAGGCCGGAGAACCCTGAACCCTAAGCTTTGTAAGGACTGCCTTAGGAGGACCCCCCACCCTGTAATAGTGGTATAATAGGAATATAATAGGACCCTAATATAATCCTTATTATCCCTTAGAATCACTATTACGGGGGGGGAGGGTCCACCTAAGGACTCCCCATGGAAGGGGGGATCCATAACCGAGGTCTTTTCATGGGATGAGGGTGTAGTTCAATAAGTGAGTTGACGTAGAGGACACTAGCCTGGTTCCGACGCGTTAAACAACTCCATTGGGAATGTTGCCTGGACCAGTTGCTTTCAAACTTGTTGTTGGGGAGTTTGTGTCGGTTGCTTGAAGAATGTGCATCATCCCGTTTCAGGATGAGGCTGTTGGAGACCACGCGGTATGCAGAGCAGTGGCAGGTGTTATTCTCATTTGCAGCAGGCAGAATTTGAGGTGATATTGCAAGCCAAGAATACTGATAGCAAGGAGGTGTGCACTCGCACAGATTTGGAACAACAATTGAGCAGCATTTCAAGTAGGGGGACTGCCCTCAATACACAGCATACATGGATATTCTATTCCAACATTTCATGAGAACCATGTATGCTTATTTGGTCTTCAACCCCAAAGCACAGCACAATTAGACTTAATATCAGAAGAGCAGGTGTTAACGTTCTGCAGCTGAGAGCACGTATCTCACACGCGTATTTCTAACAATATGGGTCCACCTTACATCCCCCAATTTGTGGGAACCTCAAGAACAGGGAGCCCCTGAAGAAGCCTGTGAAGTTCATAAATTTCAGCCCTAAACCCTAAACCTTGGGGTCTTCCGCAAAGTTGCTGGCTGCAGCGCTAGGGTTGGACTCGGCATGCATATACGAGGCTTCTCAAAATCGGGGGGCGGCTCTTCGGAACCCTACTTGGGGGTCAGGGGGACTTAGTGAGTATGTTAATAACCCCTAAAGCCCATATCATAACCCTGGTTATTTCAACTCTTCAACCTATTTACTAAGCCCCCATGACGCTCCAAGCAGGTACACAGGGATCGTAGGACCTCCTGCTTGGGATTGAAAAATTTGTACCTGCATATTCCCACATCAAAGACTGCCAGGCTTTGGCTTATGCATCCCATGTGGGTTTTCACTACGCAAAGACGCAGCCCCTCACATGTCTCATATCTGCATGGAAGAAAACGACAATCGTAACGTGGTATGTCCCACAGCTTGCGACTCTGACCCCTTACCTGTAACGCTGCAGGTTTGGGTAGGATTCAGGGTTTAGAGTTGTGATTTTGCTATCCGTAAAACTTCCGGGACATGTCATGGGGGGGAAAATTGCAGGATATGAGTTACTGGTCCCCAAGCAGGAGGGTGCCAGTGAATATAGGTATCCCACATGCTGTATATCTGATATTACCTTATCGGGGGCCGCTTCCCCACTTCTGCGCAACAGCAGTAAGATGAGAGTTCACACGTAGGCCCAAGAGCCCGACAATGGTGATGATATAGGTGGCACTTTGGGATAATCAACACCTGACCCCTAAACCCTATGTGATGTCCCCTATTTATGGGCTCAACTAGTACCACCCTCTATACTACTCCCCCCTACGTTCCCCCCTTAATTAAGGCTACTTAGGGATAATTAGGCTTAACTAAGGTTAACTAAGGGGGAAACTAGGGGGGTAGTATAGAGGGGTGGTACTACTTGAGCCCATGAGCTATTGTCGCAACAAATTCATAACCAACATAGGTCGCCTTCTTAGTTTCACCATGTTTCGGTCATGGCGCAAGATTATTGGGTAGTTGGACGCCGAGGGGCTCGTACATGCTGACGTGTGGGACTTTCTGATGCTTCTGGTTCCCCGTTGTTCTAAACCTTAATAGTTTACCGGAGGACCTCCACGACAAAAAAACCTCCTGCCCTTGGGCTCTACGTCTATCTCTTTTGCCAACATGGGGCCCTAAAACGTATAGGTATTGAGCTATCTGGATCTCCAAGATTGAGCTCATTGGACAGGATGGTGTTCGACGAGTTTGATGACTCCCACTTCCAGCGGTTGGAGAAGGCGCCGTAGTATTGTAGATGGAGGAAATCTTGCACCACCTTAAGTCCCTAAAGCCCTAGGAATTACAGTAGTCTAGGACCCCTAGGTGGTGCAAGATTTCATCCATCAACAGTAGGTCCAGGCTGCGGGTTTGAGGCGTAGACTTTCGACGTCAAGTTTGAGATCTATTGGTACGGATCATGGTATATCTTAAGCGCCCAAGGACCCCAATAATAGGGCTTTAGGGTCCAAATACCAATAATGTTATATTGTTTGGGCCCCACAACCCTATTATTTGGAGGCTTGAAATCTTAGGGTACAGGATAACGTCCCTGATCTCCTGCATTGGAGGGCTGGTGATGTCGCCTGAGCGGGCCAAGCAGCTAATCCTTTTGGCTGAACATGCGTTGCTTTTAAGGAACTTAAATTAAGATACTATAGTATCCCCCTATAGTGGAGAATCAAATGGAAAGAACATGGAAAGCGAAATGGACACTGGGGGAATATAGGGAGACAAGGAACTTGAATTAGTTACCATCATATGGGTGTATAATAAAATATAGGGTTTCCTTGTTGTAGTAAACTTGATTTGAAGTTCCCTAACAGCAACCCAGCAAAGCGTATACATACCAGCTACTGTGGACCCTAGTCTGCAAGCAGTACCTGCTTCGGGCTATCTGGAGCTCTAGGAAATGACTAATTAAGTACATCCAGTCGGCTATGCATTTGCGGGATGCTCTTGTGTTGCCTTCCAGGAGGGTTGGGGAACCTAGAAAGTTTAGTTTACACATTATGAACCCTATAAGGCATATAGTAACCCCAGTTATCCCCATGATTAACCTGCTTACTAAGTCCCGCTGGACCGAAACCCTAAATTGTATACCCGTTTTGATTGTGTTTTCCATTTCCCACGTAGCCCTGTTTAGTCCCTTGGAAGAGACCGTACTAAGTTCCCTGACTCTCAAAGTGCTGAGGGCTGAGTTTTGACTTTTACGCCCGGGGCATGCTTTTTGGGGGTGTTAAAAGTTCACTTATGAGCTGCCCTCTACGTTTTGTAAATTTTCGGGTTCAAGTTTTACCTCGAGCAACCAAGGTGTCCAAAACGAGGCGCCTAACATTTTGAGATATTTTGGTAGATTTACTTCTTTGAAGGGTCTAAGGTCACTCAGGTTTTATCTAGGAGCAGCCCGTACTGGAAGCCACAGCCCTGAACCCTAACTCCTGAACCTGAAAACCTAAATCCTAAACCCGAAACAATAGGCCTAAATTAATCCTGAATGCCTACACTCTAGACCCCAAATCGCGCACCAGAACCAATGCCAGTAAACCTCCTCCTCTTCTTAGGGGAGTTTGGGGTTGGTTCTAAGCTTGGGGGTTTAGGGTCGCTCTTCCCCGACATACCCCTACATAACCCATATTGGGGGTCCCTTGCCTTCATCTCAACTTTTAAACCCAAACCCTAAACCTGAAGGGAAGGGGGGGGGAAGGGACAGTTGTAGTAGTACCTAAACCCTAAGCCTAAAACCCTAAACCTTAAACCCTAAACCCTAAACCTTAAACCCTACACCCTAAACCTTAAACCCTAAACCCTAAACCTTAAACCATGAAGCCTCGACCCCAGAGGTGGAGGGATGGTAGTAGGTTAGGTCAATGCCCCCTATGATAATAGCTCCTTAATATGGAAAGAATGAGGCCTTAATATACTTACAGTAGTCCCTTGTGGTACCCATTACTGGATGGGGGATTGACCCAAGTCTTAGGGCATTGAATCCCACCCCTAAACTTTAAACTCTAAGCCCTAAACCCCTAAACCCTAAGCCCTACAGGTCTCTAGGCCAGCGGCCTACATCTGGTTCACATGTTACGAGGCGGCGGATTTCTTTTCATCATGTAGGTGACTATGCAGAGGCCCTTTGAAGAGGTTATATAGGAGTTTCCCAAAATTTGGGGGTACGGATTATCGTAGTTTGGGGTCCATAATGGGGTCCCCGTATTTATGGAAACTACCACATACAGATGTATAGGTGTGTATATATATATATATGGGCATATGGGATTGTTTTGAGTGTAGGGGCTAAAAGAAGATTGAGTAGTGAAGAATCAGATGAATAATTAGGAACATGAGTATAAGATGGAGACCTGGGTGTAAAAGGGCATTCAGGGCCTAAAATTGAGAGTAGGTTTGGGGGGGGCACATTACGCAATTTAGCGATATGATGCAGGTCATTGTTGAAGCTCTTGCGCGAAAGAGACTAAAGAGCGGCTGCCTTTTACATATCAACTGTTTAGCGGCTCTTCAACTGCATGCAGCTACCCGACATGTATTCATGATTCCTACATAATCTTTTTATCAATGCATTGTCGATATCTCATGCGGTGCTGTTTCAGGGGCTTGGACAAGGAGGTCGTTAGTTACCCTGATGGCCTACAGGGGAGTCAACGTAGAAGCTAAATGTTTAGGGTTTAGGGTTTAGCGTGCGCAAAAAAGTGATCGATGTATACACGTATATGTATGTAATTATATGTACATACACACATATGCACGGGTTGCAGCTCCCTGGCCCCTGTATTAAACTATATATAACCTACAGCCCAGGAACCTACTGTATAGATGCCTGGGCTGCCTGGGATACTTTTGTGATGAAAGTTAATGATAAAGAACGGGCTGTGTCAGCCCCATCCATGCTTTAACAGTGCCTGCTCGATTTCACAAGAATGGAGTCTAGGGGTCTAGGGGTCTAGGGTTTAGGGTTTGGGGATTTAGGGGTGTAGGGTTTAGGTTTTTAGGAGTTAGCGTTTGGGGGTTTAGGGGTTACGTTAGGGTTTACAGGTATACGGGAGTTTCTCAAAACTGGGGGGGCTGAGTACCGAGGTGATAGAAAGGGATGATGGGGACATTCAGGGGGTCCCTGTTCAGGATTCTATGGGGATTGCTTTCAGATAGCCACATAGTAGATTGGGTGGGGGCTTACTACGCAAATGCTCGGGCTCAGACGGTTGGAGACAAACCTGCATTATGCCAACGGCCAGCACTGACTTCGCAAGCACAGTACAGTGGCTCCGCTATTGGTCCACATCAGTCGGCAACCCCAGCTTAGAAGCGTATAGTCCCCCTTAAGTAGATAGAATATGAAGTTGCCCCATATCTCCACAAGAACCCCATATGAACCTTAGTCGGGTGAAGATATCCACATGTATGTATGGAATCACATAGTTATCAGCACCGACAGATGGCTCATGAGAGTTGTCTGCTTTCATCTGACCCCAGGGTTTGCTCCTACTTAGACATAGGTCCCTAAGGGCCCAAGTGCCCAATGGAATTGTTTCAGGTACTTAATCTGCGGATGGATTGCTAGGGATTGCCAATTCTAGCCAACTTCTTTAGTAATTTTCCAAAATAGGGGGACCCCAATAAAGACCCCAAAATACAATAATCCTTATTATGGAGACCCCCAAAATAGAGACATGCATGCCCCTTGCAGCCTCTAAGCTTCGCACAAGCAGCCCCTGTATCTCCCACTCCGACAGGTCCTGGTAGTCATCATCCTCCTGAACATGCTTCTGGCCATCATCATGGACAACTACATGATGGTCAAGTGGCCTGGCTACGAAGACTCAAGAATACCTTGGATTCTTTCTAGGTTGCGTCTGGGTCCGAATTAGGTTCACTGGGGTCTGCAGATTACAGATTACAGTACCCAAAGAGTCCATGTACCCAATAATTAGGTACTTGGGTTTTGGGTGATAGTAATGATAGTATTGGTCTTGGGTAAGCGTAGGATTATTCGGTACTGGGACCCCTAGGGGTAAGGAGTAAGGGCCAGCGATGTGTGACAAAATTCAGGCTACGCATCTGGGCCCCTTTCCATCCCTTAAGTCGTAAGTCAGCTAGGACAGGCAGATACGCCGGACCCTGAAACCATGTCTTAGAAGCTGGCATCCCCTTAAAGCCTACAACTTTAAAGCCTTTAGGGTTAAGGGTAAACCCTGAGTTACCTAAACCCCACAACCTTAAAGCTCCTAAGCCCTCAGAGCCCTCAGACGTAAGTTCCTTTGGGCTTAAGATTTAAAAGCCAAAAGCGTCCCCAAGCCCTGAAACTCCAAAAACCCCAACCCGTCCGGTAGATATAGTCACAGCATGGCTAGGTTCAGGCTGCAAAAAAAAACCGCTATGCAACCAAAGTTTCCATGTCATTTCACCTGTCTTGTCCATTTGAAGCCCATCATACCTTAAACCCGAAACTTTACATATACATGTACGTGTTCAAATGTATACACAGAATGTGGATTACCCGTACAACCTTTCAAGGGACCCCCAATATTTGGTAGTTTCCATACATTGGGGGACCCCATTATAGACCCCAAAATACGATCATCCTTATTATAGCGAACCCCAAAAGGGGTACCCCAAATGTTGGGAAACTCCCATTTGTGTCTCAGGGAACCTGTGACAGATCGGAACAGTGGGCCCCTAGGTTTGACGGACACACAGATTTGGGTTTTGGGGCTTTATGGTCTAAGAAATTTCTGTAAGTTGATGTTGGGTTTAGGGTTTAGGGGTTCAGGGTTTAGGGTTTAAGTTGGAAGGGCTCAGGGGAGTTCGGGGTCTAGGGTTCAAAGAACCATGGCCGTATAGATGCAGGTTTTTGTCCCTCAACCTGACTGTATGCCCCTAGCTTCTTTTGGGTGAGCTTGCAAGAGCCCTGATACGGGGTCTGTTCAAACGGTACAGGGTAGGGTATGGAAGTCCTGGGGAAAATGAGAGAGAAATGCTCTGTAGCCTCGCGGCTTTGGCCTCCAACCCTAAACCCTAAACCCCCATATTGCATACTCCAAAACAAACTTGCGAGTCGAAAGGTCCTTTAGGAAGAATGCTGTATGCGTTTGCAAACTCGTTAGTTTAGGGTGTAGAAGTTTCGGGGGTTTAGAGTTTAGGGTGTGCGTGGCCCAAAAAATCAAGGATTGCTGGGTTGTACCCTTAAGGTCGTACCCCTCAGAGGTTTCCCCAATATAGCCCGAACATAGCCCTTATATGAGCCCTAAACTCTATGCAAATCCTGAAACCCTAAGTCTAAACCCTGAAGCAGCCAAACGTGTAACCAATATCTGCACGATCCATAATCTAAACTCCTTGAAGGGGGTTACATAAAGCATTACCCTAAGGGTCCAAGTACCTAATAATCATATACTTACCCAAAACCAGTACTATAATTTCTATTACCCAAAACAAAAGTACCTAATTATTAGGTACATGGACCCTTTGGGTTATATAGGGGAGTATGGACTATGGCTCAATGTAAGCTAAAGCCAGGAAAAGAGCGAGGCTCCGCGCATCTGTGCTTCACCAGCCTCCTGGCATGATAGCCTGCCCCCAAGGTTTAGGGTTTAGGGTTTAGGCTTTTGAGGGTCTAGGGTGCATAGGTTCATAGGGTTTAGGGTTAGCGTTCAGGGTTCAAAGGGTATAGCTTGCAGCGAATATGGAACCCCAGAGGGAACGTGGAACCCAACTTGTTGCCGGCTTACGAAGCCACTGGAATAGCTCTTGGTGAGTGTCTATAGGGCTACTTCGGAATAGAGGTGGGTGTATATATTAATTGGGTGTTCAACTGGGGAGGTTGTAAAAATGGGTCATATGGATCCCTTTGAGAACAGCAGTAGTCTGCAAAACCATGACCTAAACCTTCAACACCTAACCCATGTTAGTTTGCGGCGTGGAGAGTAACATTGGGGATGAAGGCTACAGTTTTGAGTCTGTAAGGCGCCTTTCCACAGCATGGCCCTGAGTTAAGTTTCCATGTTATGTTTGAGGAAGTGTTCTCCCAATGGTCCAATCTTTACACGAGCCTTTGGAACATTTTCAAGTTATGTCCTCTTGCTGGGATGCATGGTAGTAGAGTAGCCCTAGACGCAAGGCTCCAAGCCTTCAACCCTAAACCTTCAACCCTCAATCTTACCCTAGAAGCCCATGTACCCATATAGTAGCTCCTTGGGTTATAGATAGTATAAATTTATATAGGGACTTAAGGACAGGAACCCAATATATGGATACCTGGTTCAATCTTAAACTGTCTGGGTTGCTGTTAAGGAACTCAGATTAAGGTACTATATTGGGGAAACCTTATTATTTACTATATATACCCATTATGGTAACTTAATTTAAGTTCCTTAACAGCAACCCAGACCGTGTTTCAGGTAAGTTTGCATGTCCGATCCCAGGCTCCAGGAGCTATGGCGACGCTGGCGGATGAACCGCCGAAAGGAGCAGCCTTCCATGTGTTGGGTTTCAGGGTTTAGGATTTTGGTCTGAGGGCTTGGGGCTTTCGCTTAAGCTTTTGGGTTTTATTGTCGAGGATTTAGGGTTGTTGGTGCTTTCTGCAAGGTATCTAGACCCACTGGAGGGATCTCGAAAGTGAAGGTCCCCAGCAGATTCCCGGAGACGCCGCAGGACTAAGGCCCAAGATTCTTGTATAAGTGTAGTATAGGGTGCCTCAAATCGATCCCCTCAAAATAAAATTCAGATTCTCCAGCCTTCTACATTTCTGTATAGAGTGCCGGAGGTATGTATAGCCCTGTTGACTTATGACTGATCACTGAGAAGCGAGAGAAACTACCGCCGATCAGGCTTTTTTCGTGTTTGAAGCAGAAGAAGCTCAGTGCTTCTAAGGACATTATGATGCCGAGTACAGGGGGTTGAGGCATACTGTAAATTCCTTCAAAGGGATTATATAGACTACGGGTTTGGAAAGGGGGATACTAGGAGCATAGACTATAGCTCATATAGAGGGCATGGATTTAAGGAATGTCGTCCTCCCTGGCCCTAAAGTCCATACACTGAAATCCTGGACCCGCTTAACCTTGGCGGTCTGCAGGCATGAATGGGCAGCTATTGGGGCTGGTCCCTAAACCCTAAACACAGCTTTAAAGCTTAGATCCTAAACTGTCAAGTAAACCCAAAACCCTGAAATCTGGACCCTGATTTAAAGCCTGAACTTCTGATCCTCTAGAGTAGCGCACCAGTCGAGCGGGACGGTCCGGAGCCCACTGTGCGGCTAAACCCTTATATACGGGTATATGGTTAGGTTGAAGGTTTAAGGTTTTGGGCCTTAGATTTTAGGGTATATAAAGAGCAGATGGGGGGTCCGGGTAGTGGGGAAAACTTTGCTTGGAAGAAGTGCTGCGCCCTAGAACCCAAGGACTTAGGTTGCCATGGTCATCATTCAAGACCTTTGGTTTGGAGTGGTTTCGACAAAAAAATAGCGTCCACATTCCGGGACACCTGGAGATCTTGTAATTACGAGGCTTATGTAAGGATCAAGGCAAGAGGTGTCGGGCCCTCTGAGGATTCAGGCAAGAAGCAAAACTTTCCAGGGCTTGGGCTCTTGTTTAACTCCAAAGGCAGGTCAGCAAAAGGCAAAAAGAACGTCTTCTTAGCGGTACGTCAGAAAAGGCCAAAAGGAGCGTCCCCTGAGAAACAGACATTGAAACGAATCCAGGCCTCACTTTTGCGGATTTCGGAGGTAGAAGCAGGTCTATTTTGAGGGCCCATTTTTGCATATTTAGCAGGTCTTGGCAAATCTTTTGCAGAGGTCCTCTACTCCGGACCCTAAGCACTCAACCCGAGACCGGAGGTACAAAACGCAAACTGCAGCGGTTGAACTGGACCAAGACCCGTGGGAGTTTCTGAAGAGAATCCTTACCCCTAAACCCTAAAGCCCAGTTCCGACTAAGGAGTCAGCCCTTCAGTTACCTTATAAACCCTAAACCCTAAACCCTGAGCTCCTCGTATCCTCCTCAACAACCCCCTATAGTAGTGCCCTATAGAATCCCTACATGGGGGGGGTTCCCAAAATTAGG